TTGAGTACTTTGTACCTTCTGTTGAAGAATGAACATAAAGATTATAATGGAGCTCTGAAGATCACACTCCCCTGCTCCCCATGAATTGTTGAGTTTTCCCTATTGAAGGTGAATCTTCCATTTATTTAGTGACCTCCAAACTATAGCTGCAAAGTCTGTATTATTTCTGCAATCATCCAGTGGCATGATAGAAATTTCCTTAAATGTAATTTAATTTATACATGTAATGTATATACATGTAAATGTAATATACATGTAAATGTAATATACATGTAAATGTAATATATACATTTATATATATATATATCTCCTTCAGGAGATGCCACAATAAGGAACAAAACAAAAACCAAAAGCCCAGCAAACTATACTCAAAGCTAGCAGGAGGGAAAAAAAAAACTAGCAGGAGGAAGAAAATAATAAAGATTAGTGCAGACGGGAGCCTGGGTGGCTCAGTCAGTTGGGTGGCTGCCTTTGGCTCAGGTCATGATCTTGGGGTCCTGGGATTGAGCCCCGAGCTGGGCTCTCTGCTCATCAGGGAGTTTGCTTCTCCCTCTCCCTTTGCCCCTACCCCTGCTTGTGCTCTCTCTCTCTCTCTAATATATAAATAAAAATCTGGGGCGCCTGGGTGGCTCAGTCGTTAAGCGTCTGCCTTCGGCTCAGGTCATGATCCCAGGGTCCTGGGATAGAGCCCCGCATCGGGCTCCCTGCTCCGCAGGAAGCCTGCTTCTCCCTCTCCCACTCCCTCTGCTTGTGTTCCCTCCCTCACTCTGTCTTTCTCTGTCAAATAAATAAATAAAATCTTAAAAAAAAATCAACAGAATTGATACACTTTAGCTAGATTGACTAAAAAAAGAGAGTAGACTCAAATTAATAGAATCACAAATGAAGTGAGGATATTACTATTAATTTTACAGAAATAAAAAGGATTATAAGAGCGTACTATAAGCAATTGTACAGCAACAAATAGGAAAACCTCAACGCAATGGACAAATTCTCAGAAACACACAAACCACCAAAACTGAGTCAAAAAGAAATAGAAAATCTGAATAGACAAAAGAGATTGAATCAGTAATTGAAAACCTCACAACAAAGAAAAGCCCAGGATTAGAGGGCTTCGTTGGTGAATTCAATCAAACGTTTTAAGAAGAATTAACTTCCCAAACTTTTCCAAAAAATAGAAGGGGAAACACTCCTAATTCATTACTGATTCTAAGGCCAGAAAGACACTATAAGAAAACCACAGTTCAATACCCTTATTATGATTCTAGATGCCGAAATCCTCGACAAAATACTAGCAAACTGAATTCAGAAGCATATTGAAAGGATTACGCACCACCACCAAGTGGGAATGCAAGTGTGATTCAACACGCAGAAATCAATGTTAATACACCACACTTATAGGATGAAGAAAAAAGAGCCACACGACCATATCAATTGATGCAGAAAAAGCATTTGACAAAATCCAACTTCTTTTCATGATAAAAACACTCAATAAACTGGGAAGAGACAGGGACTTCCTTGACATGATAGAGGTCATAGATGACAAGCTCACAGCTAACATCACACTCATCGGTAAAGGATTGAAAACTTTACCCCTAAGCTCAGGAGCAAGACAATGATGCCCACTTTCAACATTCACCATTGTACTGGAAGCACTAGCCAGAGCAATTAAACAGGAAATAGATATAAAAGCCATTGAAATTGGAGAAGAATTAAATTACCTCTATTTGCAGATGACATGCTCTTCAATGTAGAAAACCCTAACGAATCCCATGAAAACACTTAGAGCTAACAGATGAATTCAGCCAAAGTTGCAGGACATGAAACCAACACACAAAAGTCAGTTGTATCTGTATGCACTAGCAATGAATAATCGAAAAGGGAAATTAAGTCAGCAATTCCATTTACAACAGCATCAGCATCAGTATTCTAAGAATACTTACAAATAATGTCAACCAAGGAGGTAGAAGACTTGTCCACTGAAAACTGCAAACACTGCTGGGAGAAATTAAAGAAGACCTAAGTCAATGGCATCTGTGTTCATGGACTGGAAGGCTTAATATTGTTAAATGTCAGTACTTGCTACAGTGAGCTATAGATTCGAAGCAATTTCAACGATATTTTTGAAGAAATAGAAAAACCTATTTTAAAATTCACATGGAGGGGTGCCCAGCTGGCTCAGTCAGTAGAGCGTGTGACTCTTGATCTCAGGGTCATGAATTCAAGCCCCACACTGGGTGTAGAGATTACTTAAATAAAATAAGTCTTCAAAATAATAATAATAATAATATATTTATATGGAATTACAAGTGACCTGAATAGACAAATCATCCTGAAAAAAAACAAAGAGGACTCACACTTCCTGATTTCAAAACTCACTACAAAGTTCCAGTAATCGAGAGTGTTGTCCTGGCAAGAGAAACAGACACATTGACCAACGGGATAGAGCGGAGGCTCCAGAAATAAACTCCGGTATATATGGTCAATTGATTTTCAACAAGGTGAAAAGACCATTTCAATGGGAAGAACAGTCTTTTCAACAAACAGTGCTGGGGAAACTGGACGTCCACACACAGAAGAATGAGGTTGTGCCCCTACCTGCGCATCCGGCGACAGATGCGCAGATAAACAAAATGTTGTATATCCACACAATGGGATATTGTGCAGCATTAAAAGGAATGAAGTCCTGACACCCACTACAACATGGATGAACCTTGCAAATACAGTGCTCAGTGAAGCCAGACACAAAAGGCCAGAACACATGATTCCACCTGTATGAGCTGTATGGATGGGCAAGCTGATAGCAACGTGAAGCAGACCGGACCACATATGGCCCGAGGGGGAAAGGGGGAGTCATCGTTTCATGGGTACAGAGTTTTTGTTTGGAATCATTAAAAAGTTCTGGAAATGGGCAGTGGTAATGGTGCACAACACTGTGGATGTACTTGATGCCACTGAATTGTACACTTAAAAACCGTTAAAGTGGAACATTTTCTTATGTATATATTTTACCACAATAAAACTTTTTTCTTCGAAGACTTTATTTTTTAAGTAATCTCTACACCCAACGTGGGCCTCCAGCTTACAACTCCGAGATCCAGTCGTGCACTCTACCAACTGAACCGGCAATAACACATTTTTTTTTAAAGATTTTATTTATTTATTTGACAGAGAGAGACATGGCAAGAGAGGGAACACAAGCAGGGGGAGTGGGAGGAGAGGCAGGCTTCCCGCGGAGCAGGGAGTGCCCCACAATAACACATTTTTAAAAAGGACTTGACAGGGACGCCTGGGTGGCTCAGTCGGTTAAGCGTCTGCCTTTGGCTCAGGTCCTGATCCCAGGGTCCTGGGATCCAGCCCCGCATCGCGCTCCCTGCTCCGCGGGAGTCTGCTTCTCCCTCTGCCTGCCTCTTCCCCTGCTTGTGTGTGCACAATCTCACCTCTCCTGTCAAATAAATAAGTAAAATCTTTTAAAAATCAATAAATAAAGATAAAAGGACTTGACAGCGCCTGTGTGATTCAGTTTATTGTGCATTTACCTGGTGATGGGTGGTCATTGTGGTGGTTACTTCCTCTCATTCGAAGGAAAGTCTAAAAATTATATTTCGGCAACAGCTAGTTATAACTTGGAGCCAGGCATTAAGTTAAAATCCCAAGACAGGGAAGAGGGTCTATCTTCCCTGTTGTTTACATTTCAGAGATAGCTCCGAGACTATTAAGAAAAACACTGTGGGATTGAAAAACTGGCCAGAGGCTTGTTCAGCTTTTCAAAAGGTTTGCATCCATCTCAAAAGGAACAGAAAAGAATTTACTGGTTTCCTAAAGGAAATGCCCTAAGAGAAGGGAAAGTAGGGAGTCCTTTTCCATTTTGACACCAAGGAAAAGTCAAGCTTAGATTTGTATTTATGCTTACAACACGTGGGGGAGGAGCGTTAGGGGAGAGGGAAGAGTCAGTGCAAAGGCCCCGGGGTGGGCACGGAAGGCGTCCCATGAACGGAGGTGGAGGGCGCAGGCACGGGGTGGGGGGCGGGGCAAAGCAGCCCTCCCTTTGGGAAGGAGTGGGCTTTCATCCCCAGTGAAGGGAGTGGGGGGTCTAGGAACCCGTGCTGCGCTGAGTGCTGAGCAGGGGTGCGGTGGACGTACAAGCAGTGAAAGATGAGCAGATCCGAGCCGCTGCAAGAGCCCCAGCGAGAGGCCAGGTGGTCGCCATGGAGGTGGGGAGGTGCCAGCAGCTTCGGGGCGGGGCTTTGCGCGGAGCGCGGAGCGCGGGGGGCGGGGCCTGTACCCGGAGCTGGGGGCCTTGCTCAGAGCCCGGGGCGGGGCAGGGGGCGGGGCGTGTGCTCAGAGCCTGGGGGCGGGGAAGGGGCGGGATGCTTGCTCGGAACCCGGGGAGGGAAGGGGGGGGGGCGTGTGCTCGGAGCCCTGAGCGGGGGGGGGGGGGGGGGGGGCGGGGGGGGGGGGGGGTGGGGCGGGGGCGGGGCCTTGTTTGGAGCCCGGAGGCGGGGCAGAGCCAGGTGACCTCGTGGTCATTACCCCGACTCCCCCATCCCACCACGTGATTTCGAGGTCTGGTTCCAGCCGGGTCTCGCGGGCAGGCTAGGAGGGCGCAGTGTCCCCGGGAGAGGCAGCGGGCGCGGGCGGGGTGGGGAGAGGGAGCAGCTGCGGGGGCGGGCTGGTGACCTCTGCGGCGCTCCCGCGGCTAGGAGGGGGAACAGTCCCGGGGGAGGAGGATGGGGCTCGGCTTACAGCCCTGGAGGGCGAGAGTAAGGGGTCGCATCTGTCGTGAGGAGGGGGCTGCCCTGTGAGACCTCCCAAGTCCTGCTGGGCGGACTTAGGGGACCAGGGAGAGCGCTCCAGGTCTCTCCCTCATCCCCGACCTCTGCTCTTTGGCCTTTATTGGGGGAAGTGACTTTTAGGACACCTCGCTTTTCTCGGGCCCCCAGATTCCTTTGCAAATGGCTTGCTCTCTGCTGACCCGTCCCAGACCCGCCTTCACACAGGAGGGACCCCCGGGTAGGCGCGCCCACTCGGACCAACTGCGGGGTCCCCGAGAGAGGTGAGCCTTGTCACCCGCTGTGGGAGAACTCGCTCCGAAGAGAAAGCCCGGCGCACGCAAAACTGCCCGAAACGTATCTTTTAAACATCTTTTGTTTATCTAATTTTTAATTATCATGTAGTAAAATTGCCTTTTTAATTTTCGTGCGCAGTGTTATGAATTTTAACACATTCGGAGAGTCATCACTCGACAAGATACAGAGCAGTTCCGTCAGCCCCCAAACTCCCTCCTGCTCTGGCTTTCTAGGCACACTGCACCCCAGTATCGCCCCTAGCAGCGCAGCTCCCATCTCCATGCTGGTCCGTTCATCTTTGGGGATGCCGCATCCACGCCACGCGCGACCCCGGCCCCTCCCTCGCAGCGTCTTGCCTCGGGGACTCATCGCGGTGGTTGTGCGGATCCAAAGCTCGGGTGTCGCCCGCCTGAGCGGTGTCCCGCGGTGTAGACAGAGGGCCGCGGTCTGCTTCTCCGCTCGCCCTCGGAAACGCATTTGGGTTGTTCCCACCTGTTACGGATAAAGCCTCCACCACATCCACGCGCACGTTTTTGTGTGAACGTGCATCTTCATTTCTCTGGGATTGCTGCATTCTTGCTAAGTGTACAGAGACCACTTTCCAGGGCGGCTGTCCGGCTCTGGGCTTTCTTTCCCAGCGTCCGCTCGTTCAGTCCAGCCACTCTCGGGATTCGCCCCCGCGACCCCCCGGGATTCTCATCGGCGACCCCCCGGGATTCGCATCCGCGACCCTCCGGGATTTGCACCTGCGACCCTCCGGCTTCTCCTCTCAGGCTTTCCGATGAGCCGTGGGGGCGCCCGGCTAGATCCCGGCTCTAGTTTGCATTTCCCTGGAGTCTGATGACGCTGAGCATCTTTTCCTGGGCGTATTTGCCATCCCCACACCTTCTTTGGTTCAGGAGCTTTTCCTGTCTGTAAATTGTGTTGTTCTCTTCGGGTTGAGTTTTGAGAACTCATACTCTGCATCCAAGTGCCCTTCAGATATGTGAGTCCACAGTACCTGGTTTATTGTCTTTCTCTTGACAGTATCTTTGCGGAAACGAAAGTTTTTAATTTTGATGGTGCCTAATTTTTTTTTTCCTTTTATGGATCCTGATGCCATTTCTACAAACTCTAAGCCCATGTCATGAAGATTTCCTCCTATTTGATCCTGTGTAAGTTGTTTAGTCTATGTTTGGCATTTAGACCCAGGATTCACTTTGAGTTTACCTTTGTGTAAGGTGTGAAATGTAAAGGTTCACCTCTTTCCATGTGGGTGACCACTAGTTCAGATCCATTTGCTGAAATGACAATTTGTTCTCCACTGAACTGCATTGACACAGATGTCTGAGATTTCTGTGGGTCTGTTCCTGGACTATCCATCTGGATGCAGCTACCACCAATACCACAGTCTTGATTACTGTAGCTGTTTTAAAATCAAGTCGTTTCCAGCAATTTGGTTCTTCTCTGTCAAATTCTTTTAGTTATTCTGGTTCCAATGCCCTTACATATAAAATTTGCAATTTGCTTGTCTATTTCTATAAAACAAAAATCTTGCTGGAACTTTGCCTGGTGATGTGTTAAATCTATAGATCACTTTGGGGAGAATGGACATCTTTATTAGGCTGACCCTTCAAATTCATGAACATGGCAAGTCTTTCTATTTATTTAGATCTTATCTGATTTCTTTCAACAGCATTTTATAGTTTTTAGCACTGAGAACCTTTACAAATTTTGCTAGATTTACACCTAGACATTTTTGGGAGCTATTACAAATAGGAACATTCTTAAAATTTTGGCCTCCAATTATTCATTGCTTGTATATGGGAATACAGTTGGTTTTTATGTGTTGAGCTTGTATCCTGCAACCTTGCTAAATTCACTTACTGGTTCTAAGAGTTTGGCTCCTTTTTTTTTTTTTTAATAGATTCCCTGGAATTTTCTACATAGGTACCCATGTTGTCTGCAAATAAGGACAGTTTAATTCTTCCTTTCCGATCGATATGCCTTTTATTTCCTTTTCTTGCCCTATTGCACTGGATGGCATTCTAGCACTGTGTTGAGTAAGAGACTCTTGCCTTGATCCCAGTCTCAAGGGGAAGTGTTCAGTCTGTCACATGAAGTGTGATGTGCGCTGTAGGATTTTTGTCAATGCCCTTTATCGGGTTAAGGAAGTTTGCTGGATATAGACATCTGAACTGATGGTTCTTTTCTTTCAGCACTGAAAAGACGTATTACTAATGAGAAGTCCAGTCATTCAAATCATTGTTCTGTAGGTAACTCATAATTTTTCTCTGGCTGCCTTAAGACTTTTTCCTTGTTTTTAGTTTTCAGCAATTTGATTATGAAGTGTCTTAGTGTGGATTCCTCTCAGTTTTTCCAGGATGGGATTTGCTATGCTTTTTGAATTGTAAGATTATGTCTTTCACCAAACTTGTGAAGTTTTCAGACATAATGTCCTTAAATATTTTTAAGCTCCATAGTCTTTCTCCTCTTTCTGGGACTCCAGTGACACAAACACAGCCCTGTTCTTGTTGGGTCCTGTGGGTCCCTGAGACTCTGTTCAGTTTTTTTACATCTTTTTTCTCTCTGTTGCTCAGATGAATTTCTGTCGCTATGTCTTCAAGTTCATTGACTTCCTCCTGTCATCTCCGTTCTGGTATTGAGTCCATCCTGTGAGTGAAGGTTTTTTCCCCTCTCAGTTATTCTATTTTTCAGTTCCAAAATTTCCATTTGCTTTTTCTTTATGTCTTTCTCTTTGCTGAGTCATTCTATTTTAATATTTGTGTCAAGACTGTTTGCAGTTTCTGGTTAAAGCATTTGTATAAAGCTGCCTCAAAGTCCCTGTCAGATAATTCAAACATCAGGGTTATCACATCATCGGTATCTATTCCCATTTCCCATGTGAGTTGAGATTTTCATGGTTTTTGTTTGCCAGGTGATTTTAGTTTCTATCCTGGACATTTTGAGTGTTGTGTCATGAGACTCTGGATCTTCCCCCTGCCCTATGGAGAGTGTTGACAGTCTTGCTCTAGTCTCCTGCGGGCTGTGGTTCCAATGTCAGTTCAATACTCAAAGTCTTTGTGGTTTTAATCAGGGCCGTCCTGCATGTGCACCACTTAGTGGTCACTCTGAGACTTGAGTGGTGGTCTACCTATTAGATCAATTCTCCAACTATTTGATATGCCAATTAGGATGACATCCACACACGTGTGGATTAGAGGAGAGCCCAGGAGTCCGAAACTTAATCTCCTGGGCTCATTTCCCTAAGTTTCTTTCTCTCCATTATTTTCCTGGTACTTTCCAGTTACCTAAGGTTCCCTTTTCCTCCAACCAGAAACTGTCCACTTCTGTATCTGTGACGTGTTTGGGGCCAAATGGCAAGAGGACATACAGGAAAAAGGCTGCTAATGAGCAAGTTCACCAAGGTTCCAGGATCCAAGATCAATATACAAAAATCCACTGCATTTCTTTGTGTTAACAATGAGCAATTCAACAATAAAATTGAGAAAACAATTCCATTCACAACAGCATTGAAAAGAATAAAATACCTCGGAGTAAGTTTAACAAAAGGAGTGTAAGACTCCTACACTTAAAACTACACAGCATGTCTTAATAAATGGAGAGACATCTAATGTTTATGGACTGGAAAACTCAATATTGTTAAAATGGCAATATTCCCCAAACTTGTTTGAATGCAATCCCTATCAAAGTGAGAGTGTTTGGGGTTCTTTTGGCAGAAATTAGCAATCTGATCATAAAATTTGTATGGACATACAGAGGACAGAGGATAGCCAAACAATTTTGAAAAGGAACAAATTTGGAGAATTTACAGTTGCTAAATATAGAAAACTTACTATAGAGCTACAGCGATAAAGATGGTGTGTTCTGGCATAAGGACTGACTTATAGATCAATGAAACAGAATTGGAAGTTTGGAAACAGGGGCGCCTGGGTGGCTCAGTCGTTAAGCATCTGCCTTGGGCTCAGGTCATGATCTCAGGGTCCTGGGATCGAGTCCCACATCGGGCTCCCTGCTCAGTGGGGGGTCTTCTTGGGATTCTCTGCCTCTCCCTCTGTGCCCCCGCACCCACTTGTGAGCGCGCTCTAAAATAAATAGATATATAAAATCTCTTAAAAATAGACATAGACTTAAAATTGTTATGTGTATTTTACCACAATTAAAAACAAATATAAATTTAAAAATACCAAAAGTAAGACAAACAACCAAGTAAAAACAGGCAAAAAAAGTTATTAGACATTTAACCAAGGAAGGAGGGGGGAAGTTGGGTATATTCTTTGGTAAAATGTCTAATCCAATTTGGAAAGATGCACAGCATCATTAGTTATTAGGAAAATCCAAATTGAAAGTAAATCCAACAGCGCCTCACACCCTGGCTTTAATCGAAAGGAAAGACTATAACAAGTGTTGACAAGGGTGTGGAAACACTGGAACCTTCATCCAGTGCTGGTGGAAAAGTAAAATGGAGAGCCAATTTCTTCAAAAGTCACATATAAATTTACCATACGACCAGGAATTCCACTCGTAGGTATTTACCCACGAAAAATGACAACATATGTGCACACAAGAACTTGTACAGGAAAGGTTCCTAGCGGCTTTATTTGTAACAGTCAAAATGTGACAAGCCAAATCCCCATCAACTGGTGAACAGATGAACAAAATGCGGCGCATCCATATACAGCGGGCATTATACGGGAACCAACATGCGTGACTTCAGAATGGGTAAGCTCAGCCGGAGCAGCCCGCCCCGCGGACCGCGCTGTGTGATTCCATGCACCTGGGAGGCCCCGCGCACGCAGCTGGACGGCGCAGGGGCACAGGTGCTGGGGCCGGAGGGGAGTGACGGCTGGTGCCGCAGGTGACCGCCAGGCTCTCCACCTGCGCTGTGCTGCTGGCTGCACACCTGGCTGAATCAACTGAAATCATTGAGTGGTGGGTGGATCCTTGCAATTGTCGGAAGTGGGTGGGTTTTATGGTATGTAAATTACACCTCCATAAAGCTGTTTTAAAAATACTTCTGGGTTTTTTTTTTAGATTTCCATTTGATTCTCTGAGAAATGTTTAAAGTGGCTCAGAGCATTTGTATAAGAAGAATTTTGTTTCTCATTAAAAATATAGTCAGCTGACAGCCGAAGGCTACCTGGACCCTACCCCCAGGGCGCCCTGCTGTGGGTGTGCCCCCCC